CTGCTGGCAGTGCACCGCTGCTGTTGTCTCGCAAGCGCTCCATGAAAAATGATTATAAGTGGGTCACAGGATATGCAAATTTTTCTATTCTTTCTGCTTTTACGCTCAGCTTAGTCCGGCATGGTTGCAGCTGTTGCCGCCAGAGGGTGCTGCCAAGATAGATGGAGCCAGTGGCCTGGCAGAGGGTTGGCAGAGGGGCGGCAGAGGGGAGGAAGGCACGGTTGAGTTATGTGCACCGTTGACTACTTGGCAAAGAGACATTTTGCTCTTGCAAATGCAACGGAAAGTTGGCAAAGAAAATGGCGAAAGTTTTTACACTTTCTTGTATTTTATTATATATCCGTGTTCCTGCGAGAAAGGCGGGTGAAGTGGCCACCTTTCCGAACACTTTAAGTCGCCCTGGAAGAAGACATCCAGCTCCCCATTAGGCCTTTAAGCGAATAATTGGATGGGTTCTTCAGGAAACCACCGAAATTGCAGCTTTTATGCTTTTAAGGAAGTATAAACAGACTGCTGTCTTGCGTAACTTGAAACTATAACCTTCAAATGCTGTACAGCATATGAGAATAAGTGAACTCATGTTTAGAATGTGCGATGAAAGTGTAGTTAACCCTACTAACCTTTTCGCATTATGCCATCCCGTAAAATGTTTTTCAAGGCAGCAAATAATCAGTGAGTAGTTATTAGATATAAAATAAAAAACCTGCCTTAATAACTTTGAAAAGCCATCGCAGTACATGGCGAAATACCCCACAGCAGTAACTTTCCCAGCAGAATTCGCAACAACAGTGGAATATATGTGTGCACACACACAATGGCAACATCTAATCAGAAATGCGCTTGCGGTGGTGTTGGTGACCATGTGCCCTTTAAACAGGATGCGAATGGCGACCAGAATGTATTTGTTTGTTCTGCTGATGCCCACGGCCATTTGCTCTTTTCTCGTTTGTTTCCCCACACATATTCCGGTCCCTCCCCCTCCTGCGAGGAAAGTTTGTTTCGTTTTCCTCCCCCTCTGTCCGTACACTTTTAGCACAGAGTGTAGTCCGAAGCTGCCCGTAAATAATATATTCCTGATCAGCGCCGACTCAATGTCCGCTTTTTCATTGGCAAATAACACTTAACAGTGCCCCAGTTTAGTTTTGTTTAAAACGTTTGATAAGATTGTGGTTATATCGTAGGTTTGTTAATACAGAACTGTAATCATGAAGCTGCTTTGAATTGAGTCCAGCTAAACAAGTTTTTGACCCAAAATTTAGTTATGACTCTGACTTGGGGAAGTCTGCTTATTTTCTCGTTATGTACTGGTCAGTTCAAGAAAATAACTGGCCTAGTTGGATATCTTGGACTCCGAAATCGAATTGACTTCATGTTTTAAGGTCACTTGGCATGGAGAACAATTTCAATAAAAAAAAAGTTTTCATAAACCAAATGTATTACGTAAATGATTTTCATTACCTTTTAGATTGTTTGGTTAGTAGTTTATGAGGACGATACATATTTTGACCCCCCAATTACTTTAAATATATACATCCTACGTACATCAGAAGCTTGGCAGCTTTAAAGTAAAACTTTGAAAATCGACCGCAGACCTGTGATGACCTATCCACAACCCAGATTGCAGTCCCAACTCACCCACTTTCCTTGGTCCCTTTCAGCTCTTTTGGCCTTCTCTGCTGTTAGAGAGAATTTTTAGGGGTTTCTCTCCATGTTTTTTGCTGCTTAGTTTGGCGAAAACACGCAGCGACCATTTTTCATATTTTCATTTATAAATTTATTATAAAGCCAGCAGAAACAGCAGCGCAGGCGAAGGAGTGGTTAGTGGAGCTAGTTCCCGGAAGCCGGCTTGGAGTGGGCTTAATAGCTAGCTCTGGGCTGGGAGGCTCGGGGTTTGCGGCTTAGACCTCGGATACTTTGGCATTTATTTTAAATTATAGTTGGTAGTAATAACTAATGCTCAGCAAACTGCTAGAGAACAGCGGCTCTGGGGAGGGGGATCGGCTTTTGGTTCCATGTCCATGGAAATTATAGACATTTCGGTCTTAAATCTGTATTTAGTAGCTACCCCTTAATGACGGTTTTCTTCAGGGCTCAGAGCAGAGTTTTCCGACGCCAGGTGGATCCGGGGGGTTAAGGGGTTAGCGAATTTTTGATATGACATGAGCCGGGCGAAAAGTTTGTTTCCTAATTAAATTTACTACAAAATTAATGTAAATTCGACAACTTCCCGCCAGCTCAGCATAATTATGGAAATTCCATTTCGAGGGGGCTTTGTGGGGGAGACAAGTGAGCTGACATTTTTCGGTTGCACTAATTGAAAATTCCTCAGCTCTCGCACCAAATACAGATGAGCTCCCAAAACACTCGGATGATGATAAATTCAGAGCCCGAATTAAAGTAGCACTGATACGCAATGCCAATCGATCTTCCCCTTTGCTCATCGAATGTTCTTCAGCAACATGAAAACATGAGTGGAGGAAGCAAAGGGTCAGCCGCAATTCAAAGGCAATCATATGTCCATCAAGGGAAAACCTTTCTTTTGGGTTTGCCAAAAACAGAAAACGAAATTGAGTTGGGAAGCAGTCCGAAGGAGTATGGGAGGAATATTGAGAGCAAGGGGATATCGAGGCAGAGGCTCCCGGCAAGGGAAACAAACAAAAATTACAACGCTTAATTATGAAAAGTGTTTTTCCTTTTGTTAGTCCTGGCCAAGGACCGAGGCGAAGTTGTGGGAAGCTCGCGAATCGCGCATATGGAAACACGGGTTAATGAGCGAGAATTATAATGAATTATTCTGGGAACGAGCAACCCTTGCGCTCGCATGTGGGTCATTCGGTGGGGCGACTGGATCCCCGAGGGCTGCTCGAGGGGTTGTTCTAATGGGGCTAATCAAATATTTGACGTTCGGTGGGGCAGCCTTCCGTTATTAAATTTCGTTAAGTTTTATGTACTGAGCGGAGTCCGTCTTTGCCATTTACCCATCACATAGCCTAAAAGAATGGATTTTAGGAACTCCCGTTCGAAAAGCAAGAACAAGTGCTTCTTCGTCGGTCAGTCGGGAAGCAGAATATGTTTTGAAGCTGGCCAACCTTCTATTTTTTCCTACAACTGACCAACAAAAGGTCTATGTGACCTGCTATCAGCAGACCAAATTTAATTAATAGGTATGCATTTGAGTTTTTGTGGAAACGAACACGTTGTTTAATGGTCTCAACAGAATCAGTACTAAAAACTTTTTGTAGCTTTCTAGGTCCACATTTAATATCAGTAATAGGTTTCCATAATACCACAAAAGATATTTGTTGTGAAGTCTGGAGACAAAAAAGAAGAACTATATTTTTTAAGAACTAACTTATTATATTTTATATATATATATATTATATTTATAATGTGTACATATATAGACCACTGCCTATGAGTAACCTCTCAAAATCTATTTCTGTTCGAAACTGAGTTACGCTTCCAAAGGAGGCAGGACTTTTATGAAGTTTATTAGGAATAGTGCAGCTCACTAAATAGCTTAAATGTATTCTAATAAATTTAGAATAGGTTCCAGTTTTAACTGACAGGTCGTTTCAGTTACTCGTAGAGTGAACGGGTATATTGTATTTGTTGAAAAGAATGTATAAGGTGGAAGAAGGCATTTTGGACCCCATTAAGGATATACATTATTAATAAGGATCATTAGAATAATCGATGTATGTATGCTTGTCTGTCCGTATGAACGTCGAGACCTCCGGACCTTTAAGACTCAAAATATTGGGATTTTCAATACAGATTCTTGTCATTCGTAGGCAGCGCTATTTGTTTTCGTTTTTGTGCCACGCCCAGCTTTAAAAGGCTAATGACTAATGACTTCTTTAGACTCTATTTATGAGCAAGCAGCGAATGGCTGTTTAACATTTTGACTCGCTCGCTTAACATCCTTCTATCTGAAAATATTTGTCGAGATATTCAAAGAGATATCACGCCTTTTAAGCCTGTTTGCTTATAACAAGTATCTGACATCCGACCAGACATTTCCTTTTGTTATAGCCTTGCAGACGGTATAATAATATTAGCTAGAACTTTGCAACGCAGTGAAGGAGAGACCATCACGATCCGAATCGAAATACATCTGTACGTCTGTCTGTTTCTATGTAAACTAGTCACTCAGTTTTAAAGCTGTCTTGCTGAAACTTCACCAAAAGTTGTGTAGACATCGCACGCAGGCCGGATCGGGCGACTATACCAGATAGCTCCCATACGAGAGATTGAAAAAAAAATTACCACACCGTAGTTTTTTATCGTAGCGACTTGATTTCTTCTAGGTGGTGTTTGTTAACTACTTTTAGATTTCGAATTGAATTTTGACCAAATTGGATAACTATATCATATAGCTGCCATAGAAAAGACCGAAAATTATAACGTCTGTGTTTTTTAACTACCCTAAATTAAGAAAATAGTTTCATAAAAATTGAACAACTTATTATATAGCTGCTATAGGAAAGATTTAAAAATCTATATAGAATGGACGGAAATAAAATAATAATATAGTTGTTATTCATCAGACAAAAATGATTTTTGGAATTTCAACGACTCTTGATTTTCTATTTAAATTTTATCAAAATCGGACGACTATATCATATAGCTGTCACATGAATAAAAGTCGAAAATAGAGTAGAATAGAGAATAGAGAAAACGTCATAGCTTCGATGTTGTTAATATATTTAGTTCGACGTATTTGATGGGAAGGGTATATAAGCTTCGGGTTGCCGAAGCTAGCTTCCTTTCTTGTTTTTTATATTCGTTTGGTGAACAGTTTGCGCTTACACGATGACTCGACAAGCTAACACATAATCGTATGACTATTATCGATCGAAACGGAGGTACTTAAGAGGCCTAAATGAACTGACGTCGCTGATCAGCATTCCGGAACATAGAGAATCGGTAGACACTAGTGATAACGTAGGCTGGTTGATAAGGCTTATCTGTCTTTTGATACCGCCTCAGCCTAGACCATTGCCCTAATGATCCAGTTTACTGGCAGACGCCTACTTGCCAAGATGGTCGGAAACTCGAGTTGGCTTCTCCTCCAGGTTCTGGCTCTGGTCGCCGGAGCCCATGGAGCCTCTATTCTGGGTCTGTTCACCAGTCTGAGTCCATCGCACCTGGTAATCCAAATGTCGATGGCCCGGATTCTGGCAGAGAGGGGCCACAACGTGACTGTAGTCACCACGCTGAAGCCCCCCGTCCCTGCACAAGAACATCACACACATCCTCGTGCCTCTGGAAGAGAACGACCTTCAGGCCTTCAGCGTACTGGTTGGCGGACTGACCAAGAAGGAGAACAGCAACTCCCACCTGACGATGCTGCGATCGGTGGGACAAATGAGCGAGGCCTTCTCCAAGATGGGCAGCGTAATGAAGCACCAGAAAGTCAGAGACCTCTACGAGCACCCGGACAACAGCTTTGACCTGGTTATCGTGGGCTACTTCATGAACAGCTTCCAGCTGGCCCTGGCCCACAAGCTGAAGGTGCCGCAGGTGGTGGCCCTCTCGAACCCGCCGTCCCTTTTGGGGGACGTTCTGGGAAACCCCAGGGAGGTCTCCTACGTGCCCTCGATGCAGCTGGCCACCGAACCCGGACCGATGGGCTTTGGAAAGCGAGTGGTCAACCTCTTGTCGAGCCTGGGCCATCGGCTGTTCACATTCGTGCTCGAGCAGGGAAACGCAAGGACATACAGGTTGGTAGCTAACTACACCAAGCAGAGCCAGCACCTGCATTACCTCCACTTCCAGGGAGATCTATGGAGACGACCCTTCCCTCCCCAGCTACGGGGACTTGAACAAAAACATTTCTCTGGTCTTCTTTGCCTCCCACGGTATAAGCGAGGGTCCCATCAGACCCAACGTTCCGGCTGTAATCGAGGTGGGGGGCATCCAGGTCAAGGACCGTCCCGACCCACTTCCCCGAGACATTGAGGAGTTCCTCAGAGACACTCCACACGGCGCTATTCTTCTCAGTCTGGGCTCGAACCTAAAGAAAGAGCACCTCCAACCCGACACGGTGCGGAAAATGTTCAACGTCGTCTCAAAGCTGAAGCAGAAGGTGGTCTGGAAGTGGGACGATCTGGAGAACACGCCGGGAAGGTCGGAGAACATACTCTTCCTGAAGTGGCTGCCCCAGGACGACATCCTGGCGCACCCGAACATCTCGCTGTTCATAACCCACGCGGGAAAGGGCGGAGTGACCGAGGCCCAGTACCACGGTAAGCCCATGCTGGCCCTTCCCGTCTTCGGGGACCAGCCCACCAACGCCGACGCCATGCAAAAGCAGGGCTTCGGACTCTCGCAGAGCATCCTCGCACTGGAGGAGGCCTCCTTCCTCGAAGGCATCCAGGAGGTGCTCGGGAACCCCAAGTATGCCCAGGCCGTAAAGTCGTTCTCCGCTCTCTACCGGGATCGCCCCATGAGCGCCCGGGAGACTTTTGTCTACTGGGTGGAGTACGTGATCCGACACCGCGGAGCTCCGCACCTGCAGAGTCCTGTGGTGCACATGACCTACATAGCAGCCAACAACATTGACGTATACGCTCTCCTTCTGGTGGCTATCGCTGCTGTAATTTTTATCAGCAAGTTGGTTTTCTGCTTTACTCTCAAGAAGCTCAAGAGCGCTCTCAAAAAGTCTCAATCTAACAATAATCGTAAGTTGAGCAAAAAGAAAAGATGATTGTCGCAACCAGATAAGCAAATAGCTCTATTAAAACCGGCTACATAAATAGAACAATTAAAATGAACTAAAAATTGCATTTTTTTGTGTCCTATTATTTTGTTTATCGGCAAGTTTTGTTGGTTTTATTGGCGGAGGCGCAAACGTTGAGGCTTTGGAAACCTATAATAAATAAGAAATTATTAAAAGTTGAATTCCTTTCGAATAGTAAATAAATTGTATTTGACACTGAATAATGAAGAAATCAGTTAGACAATTCATCAAAAGATAGAAAATAAAATAAAAACGCACAAAAGAAAAAAGATTCGAAAATACGATTAAGCGATACAATTTTTTGACTTGGCATTGTGAATAGCGCTACGAAGGCCCCATACTACCTAAGTCCCATAATCATAGACAATAAAGAATTAAGCAGAAAATCCGCAAAATCGTCCGATTCATTCATTCGCACCGCAGCAACATTTGTCAGGAACATGAGGGAACTTGGAACTTGGAAAACAAATCGCAGAGCCAGCTCCCAGAAAACACTACTGCCAATGACGACGGCGTCTGTCCTTGTCAGTGCAACAATGACGACAATCAAATGACGTTTGCATCAATGAGCAATTGGCAAGCAGAGTAACGAGCATAAGGACGTGGGCGGGTGGAAATGGTAGAAGCGCAGGGAAAATGATAGCGTGGATTAAACGATTTTTAATGAAAAGCCTTCAGACGGCCGAATGAATGAGTGAGTGACACAGGGCGGGCTGACAGGACCTCGAATGTCGATGGCAGGATGAGGACAAAGGACGCACATGGCCATCAGCTCCTCGCACGTTTATGGACGTTTTACGGTCTCAGCTGGGAAAAGGGAAATTGCATGATTGAAAATTGCACTCGAGGCCGATCGAGCGATGCCGAGAAAAACGAGCATTATTTTCCTTATCAGCGGAGTGTGCACACTCCACCAGAAGCCGCGACCAGCTCGCAGACCTCCATGCGACTCCGGGGCTTCGTGCTCCCCGGTTTTTGTCAAAAGCTCCTGCTGATTGGGCCGCTGTTGATGGCCGGGCCTCAAAGAAGGACGCAGCTTTTGTGCCTTTTGTGGTTTCGCCAAAATAGAGTGGAATGCTGCGGAGCAGAGGCTATTGTCGGTCAGCAGTAAGTGGCCAGCCTGCGGAAAAACCCGCCAAGAAGGGTTTTCCGCCCAGTGGGTTCTTTGAAGTTGACGCGCATTGTAACCGACTTAATGAAGTGGAGGTAACTGCTAACAGATCAGTTAACAGTTGAGCAACAATTGATAAACAGAAAGTGGTCATTACAAGGAGATTTGGGTATGAAAGGAGAAAGAAAGGGTTAAAACCTCACCAATTTAAAATAGCCATTCACAAAATGTTGATATGTTTTCTTACGACTTCAAAATAAGAAGTACGCTGTGTGAGATCGTGCATTAAATCAAGTTAGTCAGAAAACCAATAGAAATCGCAATTTAAATTAATATCAAATTGTATCGATTGTGTGCTATCAATTGTAAATAAAACCAACCTAAGGCAAAATGATTTATAAATGAAATTCGTGAATATAGTTTTACTTTTGGTATTTATATATTTATTTTATTTATTTAAATTTATATAATTGGATTTGAAAGGATCTTGTTTTTGTTCTTGAAACAATACGAGTTTCCAAATTCGACGGGCTTGTTTTACTTAACGGGGACATTTCTTAAGCGGTGAAAGTAACAAGACTTAACAACTTTGCCGTTCCTTACAAATCAGCAGCAGTAGTTGCGGTGGTCCCGGCATTATCCCGCTGTGCCGAGAAGCCGGGGAAATATCCCTAAATCCCGACCTGTCGGGTGTCTAATTGAGCAGCCGAGAAAAAGGAAGACGAAGGCGGGGTGCACACATAGGCGCCAGTACTCAGGATATACAAAAACGAACACTTTAAGGAAAACCAATTTTCCAGACCCGCGTCCTATTTAGCACTAATCGTAGACATTATTACTGTTGGGATTGTATTTCACGACGCACACAGTTCCCGGAAAGTATTGCACGGGCAGCGTGCCAGAGCCTCCAGCAGGCAGGACGCTCAGAAATTCATGGCTTCAAGTGGTGCAAGTCCAGTTTGTTTTGCTACATTGGGTGACATATTTCAGTAGCGTCGCCCTTGAGTGGCTTGTAAATTTTCTATTTTCGGATCCAAACTGGATGATCGGCTCACACCAGACTTTCTCCCCGGCGTAAGCGGTTTTCTTTCCTATCAAATGAAACACGAACTAGAAATAACTCCCAGACACAAAACCGTTCGAGTTGGCGACTGTTAACACTTTTTTCCTTGCTTAATTTGGTTGCTAATGTGAAGCCGCCCCGAAACAATATATAATCGCTTTTTGAAATAAGAAGCGTGTGTTTTTACAGGAAATGCTTGACAAATGGAGGCCTGCCCAAACAATTTACCAGATGCTACAAACAAGGGATACATACGTGATTGTGTAAGAAAGACAGAGGTCGGGAACAAATTATATATTTTGACTTTTATATCCAAACAGTAATTAGGTTACTTTTTGGTAGGCCTTCGCTTGTTTTGTATCAAATAGTCATACCACTCCCGGGGGCAAAATAACTAAAACTCGGTCAGCTCCTCTTATTATAACTATTATTATAACTATATCTATCGGGATAATCATTTCGTTTCTCTCATAAGATGTTATGAACCAACGTGACCGTAACACTATGATCAATTTCTCACATTTTTTGTTGTTTCATTACATTTTGTAGAAATCGGCTAAGGGTCTTGCAAATTTTAGACGGAGCATTAGAGGCAGCCAAATAGGGTCGGATTACTAGTCAACTGGAATAAGCTAAATTATTTTAAATAAATAAAATGAAATATTAACCTTTTTTATTACTAATTGGCTTGGGTTAAAACCTTACACCTTATTGGTGACTTTCTTTAAACTTTTCTCATTTGTGTTTACGTATGTGCGCATAAACATAAATGACTGCGCAAGGCATTTGGATAAAGATTTTATGCTGGAAACCAAAGTCCCAATAACATTTAATACTGAATTTATTCTATTCCATTTTCTTTCCTATCCTCCCACACACCACCTCATTTTCGCTCGTGCACACATCTGGCTTTTATGCACTCCCCTCCGACTGAAGCACCCGCCCAGAACCCACTGCTGCTAACTGGCAAACGTACTAATTTTAAGCACCGACCTCCGCCGATTTCCCCTTTCTCCTCCTCTTCCTCTTCTTCGACCTCTGCCAATGCCAATGCCAAAGCAAGCCCAATAGCCACCCACTGGCTCCCCTTCACCCTTCGCCCTCAACCCGTTCACTCCTCCCAGGGAGTGCGGAGCATTTGGTTGCGTGTCGAGCGTCTGCTGCCAAAGTCAGTTGCATTTCCGAGCATTGTTGCCGTCTCGCCAAGCTGAGCGGGCTAAGAGGGCTGAGAGGGCCCAGAGCCATTGGCAATATGTTGAGGCTGTCGCTCGAGCTGCCAGCAAACTGCTGATAATTAATATTTTATGCACACGTCTGCGTTGATTTCTATCTTTATTGTTGTGTTTGTCTGCCAGACAGTCAGCCTTGATTCGCCCAGTTTGGCTTTTGTAAGTTTTCGTTCCGGGGCGGTAAAATAGGTATTCCGTGGGACAATATCAGGCTTTGCGGCCAAGGGTTCTTAATACACTTGAATAACCATATCAAGTTCTAAGTTAAAAATAAAGAAGAAAAGGAACGAAAATCTTTACGCAAGGCAGATGAAAAAACTAATGCCACTTCGGTAATTCCTTGCGATATTTCGTGTTCTCAGAATAAATAGGTAGGCAAGAGTCGACTACTGCTTTCCTCGGCACCACGCTCCCTTTTATCTTTTTTCTTTTGCCATTGTTTGGCCATTGCCGAACGCTTTTGAATGGCTTTTCATTTGGAAAATGTCTGCACAATGTGTCCTGCGGTTCATTACACTTTCTGTTTAGCTTGCTGCCCCTCGACTCCATATCGGAGGCCACCTGCCCCGCTTCGCGTCTATGGATTTTATTAAAAGTCCATTAAGCACTCCCTCAAAATGGCAGTTTGTATTGGCAGCGCTCTATCTACATTTGCAATAATTAAGTGGCTGATTACCCACAGGACGTTGTCTCCCGGAATCACCATTTAATGTTTGACTTTTTTCGTTTTATACTTTTATCACCTCTCAGACTTTGTTTGGCTTTCTGCTTAAACAACTGAAAATCATGCCTTATCTGTATTTCCGAGTTTCCCCAATTTTAACTGCAGTTGTCCTTTGGTGTCAGTTAAACAGTTAGTCACCTATATCGAAAAATAGGTTTGATATCCTCCGTTTTGTAATAATTTATTTTGTTTAGAGTCATATAAAAGGATTGTAACAAAAGTTAGTCTTAGAAGCTTATATACCCTTGCAGTCATCAAATATGTCGAACAAAATGCATAAAGGCTAAACAACATCGAAGACTAGTTGTGTATTAATTTTCCATATTTTCGACTATTGTTCATATGACAGCTGTATGATATAGTCGTCCGATTTTGATAAAATTAATTCGTAATTCAAGAGTCGTGAGAAAAATCAACGTTCCAAAAATCACGCTTGTTTGATGAAAAACAACGATGTTATAATTTTTATTTTCGTTATTTGTATATAGATTTTTCGATCTTTCCTCAATTAGCTATATGATGACGTTGTCGGATTTTAATGAAATTTTTTTCTCGATTCAATGGTTATTGCAAAACTGTATATTTTGAAAATCATGCTCGTGGGATTAAAAACACAACTTTTGGGAAAGTTTCAGCAAGATAGCTTTAAAACTGAGAGACTTTTTTACATAGAAACAGACAGCAGGACAGACGGACAGACGTATTTCGATTCAGATCGTGATGCTGACAAGAATATATAATCTAATCTAAAAATCTGTTAAACCCATACTCACAGAGGGTCAGAGCTGTTAAGGCCAAGTATAGAGCTACATGTTTATTTTATTTTATTTATTTATTTATATTGTAGTTAGAATAGCTTAAAAAACTAAAACTAAGTAATGAAAGTTTCAGTACTAGCTGCTGAGGCCATCGACTGTCT